TGGAATAAGCAAAAAATTAAAAATATTAGTAATATTTAATATTTTATTAAAATTAAAAAATGAGGCAATTAAATAATGGTGAAACCATCCCATTTAAGGTAAAAGTTTACTTTTAATCCCTCACATTATTAAATTTAAAGATTTTATCATTTCATCTTATAATATCATGATATTTTTAACCTCTCACCTTACTAAATTTACAAGTTTTAGCCCATCACTATATATTATGACACTTTTAACCCCTCACCTATTAAAATTGAAAAAAATAGCCTTCAGTTTGTAACATTTTCTTAGTTTTGTTAGCTAACTGTTAATTATATTAATTGATTGTTAGCAGTCTAACTGTTAATTCTATTAATTGATTGTTAGCAGTCGAAAATTTTCTTTCAACTAACAGAGTTAACAAAATTAATTTTATAATATTTTATTAATTTTTTTAATTGATTATTAGTTAATTGTTAGTTGATAAAATTTACTTTTAGTTAACAAAATTAATAGTCAGTATAAAGTGAGGCTGTTTTCTTTGGTTTTAATAGATGAGAAATAAAAATTTATACATTTAATAAAATAAAAAATAAAAAATATTATAATATAAGATAAGTGACTAAAATTTTTAAATTTAATAAAGTGAGAAGTTAAAAATAGATTTTTATCCCATTTAAAAGGTGAAGCAATTAAATTAGATGAGAGCAAGTAATTAACCAAACACGACCAGGGCAAAGTGGAAAGCGGGGAAGCACAATGTGATTCAAGAAGACTCTAGACTGCACTTAGCAAAAAATGCAGCGGAATGGAAAAATAATATTGATGGGACAGATGGGACAGATGGGACAGTGGGTGACATGGGACACTACTTTACAAACAATGCAACAGAAAGAAACGAAAAATGTTGTACACAGACTGACACACTTTGTTTTATAAATCGTTCGACAATGGTATGTACCATTTAATTTTATGAATTAGGTTCAATTCCTTCTCCTTAAAAAATTACCCTTGATATAAAAGAAAAAATAAGAAGAGACTGAATTGTGGAAAATTCTGAACCTCGCGTCATATCTGGACATTGCTGTGCCCAACGAAAAAGACACAGACCTACTGGGCCAGAAGTGAAGAAAAAGCTAAGGGAGGAAAAAAAATTCGCAATCGAAAAAAATTTAAAAATTAATAAAATTATAATAGATAAATAAGATTTGATTAGATTTTAAATTTATTTGATTAAAAATTAAATTGAATTAATTTTAAATTGTTTATATTTTAGTTGTTGAATTTAAAATGCAAACATTAAAAAATTGATAATTAGAGTGTATATAATAAAAAAATTTGACTTAAGAACAGTATATTTTTTAATAATTTTTAATTTTTTAATGATTTTTTAGTTTTTTTTTATTAAATTAATTAATTATTTAGATAAATTTTAGTTTTTTAGTAATAAAAATTAATAAATAATAATTAAATAATTCAAAAAATTAAAAATATAAAAATAATTTTTTAATTAAAACCAAAATTAATCTAAAAGATTACTTTTAAGAGTACAATTAAAATTAATAGTATTTTTTTTTTTTGACAAAGAGAATACTGGATTAATGAATTAATATCTTTTTAAGGTTAGAGACGAACCAAAGATTAGATGAACTCCATTCGCTACTGATAAATAAGGCATATTCACTAGGTCACATGAGTGAATTCATGCTCATATTTTTTTGGTTTGATTAATAATTATTAAAATTTAAAATAGAAAATTTTAATTAATTGATAATTCAGGTTTGATTGTAACCAAAACGGAATTGTGCCCAACCTTAAAAAAGGTCATGTGAGATTGAGAGCTTTTTTTTTTTTTATGATCAAGTGTCTTAAGATCAAGTTTTGTATATTTTTAGATTATTTTTTTTTTTGAATGATTTAAAGAACTCATTTCACGTATTGGCTTCGTTGCATTAAAAAAAAATTAAATTTTTAGATGTTAGTTTCAAAACTTAATGCTTTAAGATTTGATATACAAAATAACACCTAGTTATATATTATTGCAACACAAAGAGTTATTAGTTAAAAATAACCCATTTATAAATTTTAACACAAATGTTAATAGAAGCGGGGACAGTGAGGCCGTCTCTGATCTGTTGTTTCAGATTCTGGGTATCCATCGGGAGCCACCTGAAAGAAAAGAAACAAAGAGAAAGGAGGAATTAATGGCAGAGGAACCCCTATTAGGAAACTGTTTTGGGCCTGGATTTGTGAATTCAACTTATCAGTCTGAATTATGATATAAACTGTTGATAATTTATACAGGAAGAATAACTCGACTCCCAAAAAAATTAAATATATGTATGGCTAAAAACTAACAATATTAAGACACTTCAGAAAAATAATTAACAGTTAAATACAACTCACTCAAATGTGATTTGAATTGTCCACTTACTCCATTTTCTAATTTTCTGGAAGTTTCCACAGGAGTTGAGACTTGAGTTTCCTGATTGTTGTTTGGTTTAGGATTTGCAGGCGAAACTTGAAGTAGTAGAGACGTTTCTCTGTCTGAGATTTGACGAAGAGCCTTTTTCTAAGCTTTCAATTTGGAGGCTCGTGTAATCTTTTCTTCCATTCTTCTCTGCCATGGCTTCACCTTTCCGCTCTCTGTTTTATTTGAGTAATTACTAACAAGAAAGTAAATCATTAAAAAATGACTAGTAAGGTCATGGAATCAAGTTCTCCACTAAATAGTTTATGGTTCCCCAAAGTATTTTAATTGTGTTTTTAGCTGTGAATTCAAGTGTAACAGATTAAATCAATTATTTAAAAATCGCTTGAATCATCTTATCTCCAACTAATAGTTCCTATTAAACTCCTTTAATTTCATATTGGTTAATTACGAACTACTTGATGGAGGTCTTACTCAGATGTTCATTTTCGGTTTACAAGTTAACAAAATTTTTTTAGTACAGAGCAATGTTGATTCCCATACCACCCACATACCTACCACTGGCTCCATTGGGCTGTTTATATAACTGAATTCATATTGGTTACTAGTCCCCCTTTTTGCTGACGATGTCTATTCTGTATTTTAAACTTATATAAAATTGTATTAATTGTAAATTCTTTTATTAATTTGTAAAAAACATATTTTATTTTCAACACTAATAACAAATATATATGCATGATTTTAATTAAATAATTAATATAATTAAAATTAATTTTTAATTTTTTATAATAATTAATATATTCTTGACATATTTCTTAAGAAAACTTTTTTTTTTGTTTATCCTTTCTTCAGTGTGTTTGTGTGTTCACAAAAGTTGAAACCATTGAGTCACCAGAGTCTAGACACAGCATAACAAAATACTCCCTCTTTCAAAACAGGTAGACTGAAAAAGTGAAAATGAAATCCCAGAAAAGAGCGAAAGTATCGACAGGTTTTTTTGCGCCCTTTTCAGGGGCAACAGCTCGAGTAGATGTTGGTAATTACACATTGCATCTCGGGTGATGTTATTACACATCTCAATTATTAATATTATATATTTTTATTTTAATTAATTTTTATATGTTTTGTAATTTATTAAAAATTAAAAAATTAAAAAAAATTAAAAATATAATGTAAAAAATAATAAATAATTATTTTGAAAAGATGTAATATTAATTATTTGGAATTCGACAATAATCTCACCTTTGCATTTTCAGTGCAGTGTTTGACTTTGATGATGCGAACAAGATAAAAATGGCCCTCTGTTTTCCACACACAATAAACCTTCAGAACTATGGCGATAAGAGCAAGCGGAGATCTGGGCTGGTCTTAAAACTCAAGGCAATTTTGGAAGATCTCGATATCAAATATTTAAATAAAAAATAAAAAATTAATATTTTTATATACACCTCTTTTTCACCTTTCATCGATAGTACTTTAGTGGAGCGTAGACTTTACATTTTTTTTTTGCTCAAGTCAATCGATAGCCCTTGCACAAGCAATTTACGTAGCAATATAGTTTGAATTTTAGTCCTCTTAAGGGTGCACCAAAACTTAGGTAATGACCAGAGTTCAAGTCATTACAGCCTTGAAATTGTAAAAATCTTTCCTTTTTTCAAAAATTCCCCTGAATACGATTTTTAAAAACACTGTATTGATGTAAGAATCATTACACAATTTACACTAACATTAACTAATAAAGATTTTTTTAATTTATATCTTATAGATATATATTAAATTTTATTAATTATAAACTTTATAATTAATCTTATATAAACTTTTATATTTTTTTATAAATTTTAAGTATAAATATTATATTATATTTT